CTTTTTTGGGCTGACATATTCTTGTCACTTAAACGGGTTAAATGTCCCCTGTAGCTCAGTTGGTAGAGCATGGTGCTTGCAACGCCAGGGTTGTGGGTTCGTTTCCCACGGGGGGCCAGTATGAAAATGTATGCACTCACTAACTGTAAGTCGCTCTGGATAAGAGCGTCTGCTAAAATGACTAAAATGTAAATCTGCTGTTAACAAGGAAGAGGGAAAACAGTCGTGGACATGGTGGAAAAACTTGGACTTTACTAGGAAGCTTGAGTTGTTGGATTTGGACTTGTCATCTGGAAGGCTACTGCACTTCAGCACACTGAAGAAACGACAGGCAGAGGGACCAGGCCGCAGCATTATCACAGAGGACAGGCAGAGGGACCAGGCCGCAGCATTATCACAGAGGACAGGCAGAGGGACCAGGCCGCAGCATTGTCACAGAGGTGATGGAAGACTTCATCAAGCAGCTGAGGGACAACTTCTCCACCAGATTTGTAGACTACAGCATGCCTGCCCAAGGATATCATTGCGTTTGTATGTGACCCTCTCACAGTCCGCCCAGGTGGAGAATTCTCCTCCCTTGCTAAGAAAACGATACCCTCGCTGGATGAGGCCACAATTCAAAATGAGCTGATTGGAATTCCAGACATCGAGCCAAATCAGGAGTGCGCTCAGGAGTGCCGAGTCCTTGTGTGCGTTTTGGGTGGCATGCTCAGAGGAATACAGCACAATAAAGAAACTTGCATTTCATGTGCTAACAATGTTTGGATCGACTTACACCTGCGTGTCCTCCTTTTCCTCTATGAACACAATATAGACCCACGACAGGAACCAGCTTTCACAGAAGTCAATCGAGGACTGCCTGCGTAGCAAAATCACATCCATCTCTCCCGACATCCTCAAGATTGTGTCCGAGGGGAAATGCAACTTTTCCCATTGAGTAAGTAACTTAGTGGCCTATATGAGTGTATTTAGTAAATACTAACATTATTGTGAGTGCTTATCCAGGGATATGTAGGTCTCAAGCTGACAGTATTTTCTGTTTGTTCTATCGTTACAGGAGCAGGCTATCCCGAGACTCCCGATACAGACATTCAGACATCGCCTTATTTTCTTTAAAATGATTGTTTTATGTAGGATGCAACATTTTTGTCCAGTTGCAATTGTAAGTAGCCCTAATAAAAAAACTCCCACTTATATTAGGCCATGTTTTTTGTTATTGTGAAAGATGCTGTTAAGCCTCACAGCCTACCTCAGCCAGTTAAGTTATTTTCTATAGGCCTAGGCTGGGAAGAAATAGACTCCAAATTAAGCCTTCTTGTTGTTTGTTAAGTCAAATTAAAATGAAGATTATTGTTGAAATTAATTACTCGACTGGTGTAGTTTTTCTCAACACTTGCATAACAAAAGTTAGCTATATTTTCAGCACCAGGCGCTGTTCACCTCCAAAATGCTCCACTGCCTGCTTTATTAGTTCACTGTCTCCTGCATTCTTCTCTCCTCATGAATGAAATTAAAATGTAACTTTTGCATTATTTAGGTAGGGTAACTTCCTTCTTGGGACATTGCATTTGGGACTTTATGCATCTCTGATCCGAGATGTAAAAAATAAATAATCCATAATGAATTTGGGGGAACCCTGGGCTATACTGTTCAATCAATTAAATTAAGACTTTTGATAACTATAAAAGACAGATTAGTATTTTCATTGTCTTCTCTTTACAGCAATAGCCATTTGCTTTCCAAACTATGAGGAAATATTGCGATATGCCTGGCTGGGCCTCTACTTCTCATTGAGAGTCGCAACTCAACAATCATCTATGTCAGGGATCATCAACCAGATTCAGCCGCGGGTCCATTTCTTCTTGAGCGGATGGTCGGGGAGCTGGAAAAGTTCATATTTTACTAAAACATAATAATTTCAAACCTTGCTTACATCTGTGTCTCGATATTATGCGTGGGAATACTTGGAGCTGATTTCCTGGTCTTTTATGACCAACAATGATTTTTTAAAAGAAATATAAAACACACACACACACACACACACATATATATATATACATATACACACTAAGTGTGCAAAACATTATGAACTAATGCTCTTTCTATGATAGACTGACCAGGTGAAAGCTCTGTATGCTAGGTATCCCTTATTGATGTCACTTGTTAAATCCACTTCAATCAGTGTAGATGAAGGGGAGGAGACAGGTTAAAGAAGGATTTTGAAGCCTTGAGACAATTGAGACATGGACTGTGTATGTGTGCCATTCAGAGTGTGAATGGGCAAGACAAAATATTTAAGTGCCTTTGAACAGGGTATTGTAGTAGGTGACAGGCGCAGTGGTCTGTGTCAAGACCGTTTAAGACATTTAATTCAATTTACTTTAGGGGAAGCTTAGCTCATGTCTGTAGCACACTTGTGATGGAGTTTTCAATACAATGGATTGATGCAAATATCATGCTTCTGCCAGGTAGGCATAGGCTACTTTGTAGTTACCTTTTAATTGCATTTCCATCTACCCGAAGAAGGTTACACCATCATTAGCATTGCTAACGGCTACACAAAGTGGTAGCCATTCAGGCCCTACGCGCACTGCACACAAACAGGCAGGGGCATTCCCCTGCCGCTGTTTCCTCTTCAGAACGTTGGTTTATTTTTGGTCAATTGCACATTACTGTTTGAATAAATCATGAGAATTAAAAATTAAAAAGCAAATTGTGAACAAAAAAATTTACGTGACCAGGTACATTTTTTTCACTGGCACGTTAAACTGTGTGTCGCACTGCCAAGTCAAACGGTCATAAATGCATCTGTTTTGGTCACAGTAACGAACCCTGCATACAGTATCTATCTCTATGGCTGAGAGATACAGCGCATTCGGAAAGTATTCAGACCCCTTGACTTTTTCCACATTTTGTTAGATTACAGCCTTATTCTAAAATGTATTAAATAGTTTTATTTCCTCATCAATCTACACACAATACCCCATACTGACAAAGCAAAAACTTTTTTTTATAAAAAATAAAATGAAAAAATGAAATATTACATTTACATAAGTATTCAGACTCTTTACTCAGTACTTTGTTGAAGCACCTTTGGCAGCAATTACAGCCTTGAGTCTTCTTGGGTATGACGCTACAAGCTTGGCACACCTGTATTTGGGGAGTTTCTCCCATTCTTCTCTGCAGATCCTCTCAAGCTCTGTCAGGTTGGATGGGGAGCATCGCTGCATAGCTATTTTCAGGTCTCTCCAGAGATGTTCAATCTGGTTCAAGTCCGGCCTCTGGCTGGGCCACTCAAGGACATTCAGAGACTTGTCCCGAAGCCACTCCTGCTTTGTCTTGGCTGTGTGCTTAGGGTCGTTGTCCTGTTGGAAGGTGAACCTTCGCTCCAGTCTGAGGTCCTGAGTGCTCTGGAGCAGGTTTTCATCAAGGATCTCTCTGTACTTTGCTCTGTTCATCTTTCCCTCAATCCTGACTAGTCTCCCAGTCCCTGCCGCTGAAAAACATCCCCACAGCATGATGCTGCCACCACCATGCTTCACCGTAGGGATGGTGCCAGGTTTCCTCCAGACGTGACGCTTGGCATTCAGGCCAAAGAGTTCAATCTCGAATCTTGTTTCTCATGGTCAGGGTTTCATCAGACCAGAGAATCTTGTTTCTCATGGTCAGAGTCCTTTAGGTGCCTTTTGGCAAACTCCAAGCGGGCTGTCATGTGCCTTTTACTGAGGAGTGGATTCCATCTGGCCACTTTACCATAAAGGCCTGATTGATGGAGTGCTGCAGAGATGGTTGATCTTCTGGAAGGTTCTGTCAGATTGACCATTGGGTTCTTGGTCACCTCCCTGACCAAGGCCCTTCTCCCCCGGTTGCTCAGTTTGGCCGGGCGGCCAGCTTTAGGAAGAGTCTTGGTGGTTCCAAACTTCTTCCGTTTAAGAATGATGGAGGCCACTGTGTTCTTGGGGACCTTCAATGCTGCAGAAATGTTCTGGTACCCTTCCCCAGATCTGTGCCTCACCACTATCCTGTTTCAGAGCTCTACGGACAATTCCTTCGACCTCATGGCTTGGTTTTTGCTCTGACATGCACTGTCAACTGTGGGACCTTGTATAGACAGGTGTGTGCTGTTTCAAATCATGTTGTAGAAACATCTCAAGGATGATCAATGGAAACAGGATCCACCTGAGCTCAATTTAGAGTCTCATAGCAAAGGGTCTGAATACATATAAATAAGGTATGTGTTTTTTATTTTTAATAAATTTGCTAACATTTCTAAAAACCAGTTTTTGCTTAGTCATTATGGGGTATTGTGTGTAGATTGATGAGAAAATAATAATATTTAATCCATTTTAGAATAAGGCTGTACCGTAAACAACATTTGGAAAATACTTTCCGAATGCACTGTATATCCATACACTATCTATCTCTATGGCTGAGAGAGATATAGCCATACACAATCTATCTCTATGGCTGAGAGAGATATAGCCATTCACTACCTATCTCTATGGCTGAGAGAGATATAGCCATTCACCATCTATCTCTATGGCTGAGAGAGATATAGCCATTCACTATCTATCTCTATGGCTGAGAGAGATATAGCCATTCACTACCTATCTCTATGGCTGAGAGAGATATAGCCATTCACTATCTATCTCTATGGCTGAGAGAGATATAGTCATTCACTACCTATATATATGGCTACACTAGACATGCAGGATTCTCTTCTCTGCTCTCAATAGATGCCTGCCTGGTAGTCTCGGAGTTGAGTGTCTCACCAATAGCATTTAACAGTTCCTCTCAGTCTAAGCATTGTTTCTTTTACATTTGTGAGAATAGATTTAGAAAGAAATAATGCTATCTGATTGGTCCCTAGTGGTGGACTAGGCTGGCAAGCTGCAGCCCAACAGTTCCCCTGAAGATTGTTCTTGCTCCTTATTTTGGTGATATGCACATCAGAGCTTCCTTGTTGAGTGTAGTCCAAGCCAAGGTTGCAGAACCATACCAGTCTGTCTGTCTGAAACCTGTCTGTCTGCCCGTTGCCCGTCTGTACTCACAAAGTCCTGCTGTATGTCTGTGAAGTCTTTTCCGTATTTCTCCAGGGCCTCTTCAAACAGGTTGGCCTCAGAGGCGCTCCACTCCTCCATCTCGTCCCGGCAGAGAACAGGTCCTCCCTGGGGTACCAGGGCAGCGATGGCCCGCGTCATGTCATAACCCGTCTTATCCAGGGTGTCCATGGCATGGAACTGGGGAGAAGAGAGGAGGGGGGCGAAATATTGGGTAGTGTTCAGTAGGCACAAAACAGAAGAAACACTTTGAAATAGGAAGGTACCATCTGTACTTGTCCGATAAGAAACACTTCTGTGCGGTTTACTGTGTGCCCTAATGAACATTACCCTGGTTTTCACCTATACCCAGCCAACAAAACACACCCTTGTAACAAGCAAACCAAGCAAAAGGTCCCTGTTATTCTGTTCATCAAAGCCACCAAGGTTAAGAGTGCAACATAGTCTAGACCTGACAAGTGGATGTGCTATTATCTTGTGTTAGAGTTGATTTGTGTGTTGTGCACGTGTTGTTTTCATGTATATGGATGTGTGTGTACGTGCATGTGTGTGTCCACGAGAGCATGCGTGTGTGTTCATATTTATATATGTGTGTACACTGTAGCTCTGAGGCCTGTGTTCCATGTTTTATATACGAGTTGCAGAAGTGGGCCGGAACGTGGCCACATTGGGCGTCTTGGGCCACTAAGCCTGCTCGTTACTGATACTCAGACACACACACATGCACTTACACACACACACACGCACAGTATCACACAAACACATGCGCACGATTGCACCCACGCACACCCACTCACTCCCGCTACTGAAGCTCCCAGCATACCCCTGGGCTAACAGTAATCCTGCCGAGCACTCACTTCTGGCCTGACCCTGACCTTACCTAGGGCAGTGGGCAATGTGTGTGTGTCTTACCAAGGTGATGTCTCTAGAGGCAGCAGCAGCACTCATGTGAAGACTGGGCTGCCGGACAGAACTACTGCAGTCTAGAGCCCGCGCAAAGGTTCCCACTGACCTGAGAGAGCGAGAGAGAGGAAGAGAGAGAGGAAGAGATGACAGAGAGGAGGGAAAGAGATGGGGGAGAGAGAGAAAGACAAGGAGGGAAAGAGATGGGGGAGAGAGAGAGACAAGGAGGGAAAGAGATGGGGGCGAGAGAGACAAGGAGGGAAAGAGATGGGGGCGAGAGAGACAAGGAGGGAAAGAGATGGGGGAGAGAGAGACAAGGAGGGAAAGAGATGGGGGAGAGAGAGAGAGACAAGGAGAGAGAGAGGGATAAGCAAGAGGAGTTTGTGTTAATCCTCCCGATTTAGAGGTATGACAACATAGCTAAGAGGAAGAGGTGTCAATAAACCCCTCCACCTCCCACCAGACCAGTCTTCTAACCCCCTCCACCTCCCACCAGACCACAGTCTTCTAACCCCCTCCACCTCCCACCAGACCAGTCTTCTAACCCCCTCCACCTCCCACCAGACCACAGTCTTCCAACCCCCTCCACCTCCCACCAGACTAGTCTTCTAACCCCTCTACCTCCCACCAGATCAGTCTTCTAACCCCTCCACCTCCCGCCAGACCAGTCTTCTAAACCCCTCCACCTCCCACCAGATCAGTCTTCTAACCCCTCCACCTCCCACCAGACCAGTCTTCTAAACCCCTCCACCACAACAGAGTCCATCTTACCAACGACTACCCCAAAAACCCTACTCCACCTCCTCCTAGTCCCACCAGTCTTACAGAAAAAGCATTTTACATTTCCTATCGATCTCACAGCAGTCTTACCGAGCTACTAGCACCTCCCACCACAGTAGAGCCACTTACCCTTCCACCACAGCCCACCGGAACGGCGCCACTTACCGAGCAACAACCAGGAACTGGTCGATCTGTTTTTCTGTGAAGGGACTGCTGGGGTCCCACACCTTCTCCTCCAGCTTGGCCAGGTCCCTGCCATCCTCCTCACCTGGAGGTCCAGTTAGCACAGTCACCCGTTAGAAACCAGTTAGCACAGTCACCCGTTAGAAACCAGTTAGCACAGTCACCCGTTAGAAACCAGTTAGCACAGTCACCCGTTAGAAACCAGTTAGCACAGTCACCCGTTAGAAACCAGTTAGCACAGTCACCCGTTAGAAACCAGTTAGCACAGTCACCCGTTAGAAACCAGTTAGCACAGTCACCCAGGCTGCTACACTACACCAACCAGACTAAACTGCCCTGTGGGTATTTCAACTAAACTTATGACAGTGCAGCAAAGTGAGGAGACAGACATGCCCTCTGGCTCTCCATCAGTCTTGGGGTGATGTGGTTCTGGTTCCTCATAAAACTTGCTTGTAGATAGATCCACACACTTTGACATAACGTTGCATATCCTGCCCTCTGACCCTCTCAAACACTATTGGGGTGACATGGCTCCTCATTAAAACTCACACTTTGATTCACACTCTTTGACATAACGTTGCATAATAGTTCCCAGTGCAGTGGGTTCATCAGGCAGTGTGATAGACGCCCATGCCCTCCCACTGACTGAGCCCTGAGATGAGATAGGATCCTGCCTGCAGTACCAAAGAATACTAGCCAAGCTAATCTACAGGCTAGTGTGACACGTTTTGCTATGGGAAATGCTAATAGTTCAGTCTTCCATATGAGTGTCTTTGGCGTACGTACCCTAATTGCTCCTGTAAGTCGCTCTGGATAAGAGCGTCTGCTAAATGACTAAAATGTAAATGTACCCTCTTTGAGGAAGTCTGTGATGTCTGCCTGGTACTTGTTCCCCACCCTGATCTCCCCTTTATCAGCCAGCAGAGTCTTCTGTTGGGGGTCGTAGACCAGGGAGTAGAAGAATGCATCCTGGAGAGAGGGATGGAGAGGAGAGAGTAAGAGACAGAGGACTGGAGAGGAGAGAGTAAGAGACAGAGGACTGGAGAGGAGAGAGTAAGAGACAGAGGACTGGAGAGAGTAAGAGACAGAGGACTGGAGAGAGTAAGAGACAGAGGACTGGAGAGAGTAAGAGACAGAGGACTGGAGAGAGTAAGAGACAGAGGACTGGAGAGGAGAGAGTAAGAGACAGAGGACTGGAGAGGAGAGAGTAAGAGACAGAGGACTGGAGAGAGTAAGAGACAGAGGACTGGAGAGAGTAAGAGACAGAGGACTGGAGAGAGTAAGAGACAGAGGAGAGGAGAGAGTAAGAGACAGAGGACTGGAGAGGAGAGAGTAAGAGACAGAGGACTGGAGAGGAGAGAGTAAGAGACAGAGGACTGGAGAGGAGAGAGTAAGAGACAGAGGACTGGAGAGGAGAGAGTAAGAGACAGAGGACTGGAGAGATTGAGTGGGGTTGTGGATTGTGTGTGTGTAGCAGTTAGTGTCTCGTCTTCTCATTACTGACTGTGAAAAGAACATTCTGGTTCAACACACTGAATTATTCATACAGCACCAAGACACACACACAAACTCATTTAATATGGAGTAAATTTAGCAGTTATATGTGTGTGTGTGAGAGAGAGAGGTATTGTCTATTGTCATTATGGGGTATTGTGTGTAGATTGATGAGGAATATTTGTAATATTTACTGTTCACTCTTTATTGTTTATTTCACTTTTGTTTATCCATTTCACTTGCTTTGGCAATGTAAACATATGTTTTGCATGCCAATAAAGCCCCTTGAATTGAATATTGAGAGAGAGAGAGAGAGAGAGAGAGAGAGAGAGAGAAGGGCAGTGCGAGCCACCTACCTCTCGGTCCAGATAGGACTTCAGAGCCTCTGTCTCGTTCAGCAGAGTGACACAACACTTCCCCCTGAGATCAACCACACACACACACACACACACACACACAGAAAGTCAGAAACAACCCCTTACATGTACTGTATAATGAAGCACAGTACAACCTATATTAGGGGTGTAACGGTTCACCAAACCCATGGTTCGGTACATATTACGGTTTTGGGGTCATAGTTCGGTTTCGGTACAGCGGAAAAATTAAATACCTTTCGCAATGTTCAGCAATGTCTGTTGTGACTGGATTGTTGGGCCTCTCCAGTTTCCACTCTGATGCTACGCTTGCAACCATGTGGGAGGTGGGAATTTACCAGTTGCGAAGTTGTAAATACCAGTTGGATGCACTCATGTGATTTGAACTCATTGAGAAACGCTGATTGGCTAATGGCCAAGAAGCAGTGTCAATCATAAACTAAAAGTACAGCTATCATGCTTGTAAACAAATTATAGAGTTCAAAAAGCACATGAATGGATAGCTTTTTATAAATAAAGTTTGGTTGTTGCATTTAACTGCCGAAAATGCTGTTATAAAGGTAATTTCCTTAGTAGGTGATGTCAGAGGTCACCATGCGGGAGAAGTGGGTGCTCAGGATGATAGACGAGTTTTCCACTAGTAATTACCAGTTTGAGGGCCGGAATTGACCAGTCGCATGTGGTAAATTCCCATTACACTGCCTCCTTCAGTGTCAGATTCGCACTTGTGCCTCTCATAAAGGGGGCGTGTCTGTAGCACAGTACATCTCCCACTCTGGGGTAATGTGATGGGCTGTCACCTGATAAGTAAGCGCAACACAGGGTGCATTGGCATATTCATTGAAAACTTCGGCTTTGGTTTGCTTACATAGGTAGTACTTGCTCTGTTTGCTGAAATGGGTGCAAAAGGGAAGTTCTTAAGGTGGCTCGAGCTCTTTCATGAGGGGCTGAAACCCCCTATTCTCAACCACCGAGAATGGGCGCATAGCCACGGCTATAAACCAAAGATTGTTAGAAATATAAACACAGCCTACCTATCGCTCTTGTCATTTCTTTGGCCTGGTCAGAATCAGCTGCCAAGGGCTGCTTGAATGCAGAGTGGAGACGATGTTGTGTTGTTGTTCCTTTGCATTTCAGTCTTGCGCCAGTATACTGGGGTGATGTTGGTGTAAAGGTGTTAGCAGCTGTATAGGCTATTCTCATTGGAGCGTGGCGACATACTGTTAACGTTTTATCCACAACTCCCTGTCCATTGCCGTTGTAATCTACTGGGAAGCCACAATTGAGACTTAAATGATGACGGAGGATCCTCCAACTCTGGTTTATCGATCCCACCACTCACCATCGTACAGAAGTAGTTCCCGGCTGCGCCTCACAAAAGGACAGTTTGAAATGTGCCAGTTAAGATTGTAATTTTGATTACAACGTGTGCATAGGCTGTAGTTGTTTTAATGGAATAGCCTGAACATTTTTAATATTTTTTAATGTATTCATTCGGGTTCACATTGCGGACCGATCAGAGGTCCCCGAACGGTTCGGTACGAATACATGTACCGTTACACCTCCAGCCTATATGTGTTCCTAGCTGTGAGAGGAAGAGTCATCTGTTTTCCAGGCTGCGTTTATACAAAAAAGGGAATATAGCGTACCTGATGTGTGTAGTGGGTAGTGACTCTAGCTGGTCTAGTAGCAGGTATATAATGCAGCGGGTACTGACTCTAGCTGGTCTAGTAGCAGGTATATAATGCAGCGGGTAGTGACTCTATCTGGTCTAGTAGCAGGTATATAATGCAGCGGGTAGTGACTCTAGCTGGTCTAGTAGCAGGTATATAATGCAGCGGGTACTGACTCTAGCTGGTCTAGTAGCAGGTATATAATGCAGCGGGTAGTGACTCTAGCTGGTCTAGTAGCAGGTATATAATGCAGCGGGTACTGACTCTAGCTGGTCTAGTAGCAGGTATATAATGCAGCGGGTACTGACTCTAGCTGGTCTAGTAGCAGGTATATAATGCAGCGGGTAGTGACTCTAGCTGGTCTAGTAGCAGGTATATAATGCAGCGGGTAGTGATTCTAGCTGGTCTAGTAGCAGGTATATAATGTAGTGGGTAGTGACTCTAGCTGGTCTAGTAGCAGGTATATAATGCAGCGGGTAGTGACTCTAGCTGGTCTATTAGCAGGTATATAATGTAGTGGGTACTGACTCTAGCTGGTCTAGTAGCAGGTATATAATGCAGCGGGTACTGACTCTAGCTGGTCTAGTAGCAGGTATATAATGCAGCGGGTAGTGACTCTAGCTGGTCTAGTAGCAGGTATATAATGCAGCGGGTAGTGACTCTAGCTGGTCTAGTAGCAGGTATATAATGTAGTGGGTAGTGACTCTAGCTGGTCTATTAGCAGGTATATAATGTAGTGGGTACTGACTCTAGCTGGTCTAGTAGCAGGTATATAATGTAGCGGGTACTGACTCTAGCTGGTCTAGTAGCAGGTATATAATGTAGCGGGTACTGACTCTAGCTGGTCTAGTAGCAGGTATATAATGCAGCGGGTACTGACTCTAGCTGGTCTAGTAGCAGGTATATAATGTAGCGGGTACTGACTCTAGCGGGTCTAGTAGCAGGTATATAATGTAGTGGGTACTGACTCTAGCTGGTCTAGTAGCAGGTATATAATGGACAGGGTGTACTGACTCTAGCTGGTCTCGTAGCAGGTATAAATGCAGCGGGTAGTGACTCTAGCTGGTCTAGTAGCAGTATATAAGCACAGCGGGTACTGACTCTAGCGGGTCTGAGGAGAAGGTATAATAATGTCGGGGTACTGAATCTAGCGCGGTCTAGTAGCAGGTTATATAATGTGCGGGCTACTGACTCTAGCGGGGTTATCGTAGAGTATATAATGCTAGTGGGTACGGACTCTAGAAGGATCTAGAAGCAGGTATATAATGCAGAGTTTGTAGTGACTCTAGCGGTCTAGTAGCAGGTATATATTGCCAGCGGGTACTGTGACTCTAACTGGTCTAGTAGCAAGGTATATAATCGAGCGGGTAGTGACTCTAGCTGCGTCTAGTAGCCAGGTATATAAGCCGCGGGTAGTGACTCTAGCTGGTCTGTAGCAGGTATATAATGCAGGGGTAGTGACTCTAGCTGGTCTAGTAGCAGGTATATAATGCAGCGGGTAGTGACTCTAGCTGGTCTAGTAGCAGGTATATAATGTAGTGGGTAGTGACTCTAGCTGGTCTAGTAGCAGGTATATAATGCAGCGGGTAGTGACTCTAGCTGGTCTAGTAGCAGGTATATAATGCAGCGGGTAGTGACTCTAGCTGGTCTAGTAGCAGGTATATAATGCAGCGGGTAGTGACTCTAGCTGGTCTATTAGCAGGTATATAATGTAGTGGGTAGTGACTCTAGCTGGTCTAGTTAAGCAATAAGGCCCGAGGAGGTGTGGTACATGGCCGGTATACCACGGCTAAGGGCTGTTCTTAGGCACGACGCAACGCATGCCCGAGGTGCCTTATTGCTATTATAAACTGGTTACCAACGTAATTAGAGCAGCAAAAATAACGTTTTGTCGTACCCATGGTATACGGTATGATATACCACAGCTGTCAGCCAATCAGCATTCAGGGCTCAAACCACCCAGTTTATAATAGCAGGTATATAATGTAGTGGGTAGTGACTCGAGCTGGTCTAGTAGCATGTATATAATGTACCTGATGTGTGTAGCGGGTAGTGACTCTAGCTGGCGGGACAGGAATAGCTCTCGGTGTCTAAGCTGGTGTTTCTGTTTCTCTGGCAGGTCAACTGGGTTCAACTCTGGGTTCTCCATCTCCTCCTCCATCTCTCCTGGATAGGGGTCAGAGGTCAAACACACTGAAGTTAGTTAGGTGTGTGAACACACACGGGCGCGCACACAGATGCGCACACACAGAGACAGACACAGACACACACAGTTCAACATCTCCTCCATCTCTCCTGATAGGGGTCAAAGGTAAATACTCACATTAGGTTAGCTCAACTGAGTTGTCACTAAACCCGTGCAATCTTGCCACACACAACAAATGCTTAAAAAAAATTAAATGGTTAATGTGGTAGAACATTTAAGTCCCATCTACACTGAACAAAAATATAAACACAACGTGTAAAGTGTTGGTCTCATGTTTCATGAGCTGAAATAAAACATCCCAGAAATGTTCCATACGCACAAAAAGCTTATTTCTCTCAATTTTTTTGCACAAATTTGTTTATTTCCCTGTTAGTGAGCATTTCTCCTTTGCCAAGATAATACATCCACCTGACAGGTGTGGTATATCAAGAAGCTGATTAAACAGCACGATCATTACACAGGTGCACCTTGTGCATCAAGCACAAGGTGCATCAAGCATCCCAGAAAAGTGCTAAAAATAGCCCACGTTAACATATGTTGCCTAAGAAACAAGGTTCATGAAGTCAATAACTTGCTAGTAACAGATGACATTCATATTCTGCCTATCTCTGAAACTCACTTAGAGAATACCTTTGATAATAGAGTGGTAGCAATACATGGTTATAACATTTACAGAAAAGACAGAAATACCAATTGGGGTGGTGTTGAGGTCTATATTAAGAACCACATTCCTGTAAAGCTTAGAGAGGATCTCATGTTAAATACTGTTGAAGTAATATGGCTACAGGTTCATCTGCCTCACCTAAAGCCCATTCTTGTGGGAAGCTGCTATAGACCACCAAGTGTTAACAGTCAGTGTCTGGATAACATGTGTGAAATGCTTGATAATGTATTTGATATCAACAGAGAGGTATATTTTCTGGGTGATTTCAATATTGACTGGCTTTCATCAAGCTGCCCCCTCAAGAAAAAGCTTAAAACTGTAACCAGTGCCTGCAACCTGTTTCAGGTTATCAGTCAACCTACCAGGGTAGTTACAAACAGCACAGGAATGAAATCATCAACATGTATTGATCACATCTTTACTAATGCTGCAGAAATTTGCTTTAAAGAAGTATACAAATGCATCGGATGTAGTGATCACAATATAGTAGCCATATCTTGGAAAACCAAAGTTCCAAAGGCTGGGCTTAATATAGTGTATAAGAGGTCATACAATACGTTTTGTAGTGATTCTTATGTTGATGATGTAAATAATATTTGCTTGTCTGTGGTGTGTAATGAGGACCAGCCAGACGCTGCGCTTGACACATTTTTGAAATTGCTTATTCCAGTTACTAATAAGCACGGACCCATTAAGAAAATGAATTTAAAAACTGTTAAATCCCCTTGGATTGATGAGGAATTAAGAAATGGTATGGTTGAGAGGGATGAGGCAAAAGGTATGGCACAAGTCTGGCAGCACAACCGATTGGCAAACGTATTGCAAATTGAGAAATGTGACTAAACTGAATCAAAATAAACTATACTATGAAACAAAGATAAATGATATAAAGATTGATAGTAAAAAGCTTTGCAGCACCTTAAATTACATTTTGGGAAAAAAAGGTAAGTCAGCACAATCATTCATTGAATCAGATGACTCATTCATCACAAAACCCACTGATATTGCCAACTACTTTTATAATTTTTTCATTGGCAAGATTAGCAAATTTAGGCATGACATGCAAGCAACAAACGCTGACACTACACATCCAAGTATATCTGACCAAATGATGAAAGACAAGCATTGTAATTTTTAATTCCGTAAAGTAAGTGTGGAAGACACTTGGATGGAAAATTACTGAGGATAATAGCAGACGATATTGCCACTCCTATTTGCCATATCTTCAATTTAAGCCTCCTTGAAAGTGTGTGCCCTCAGGCCTGGAGGGAAGCAAAAGTAATTCCGCTACCTAAGAATAGTAAAGCCCCCTTTACTGGCTCAAATAGCCGACCAATCAGCCTGTTCCCAACCCTTAGTAAACTTTTGGAAAGAATTGTGTTTGACCAGATACAATGCTATTTTACAGTAAACAAATTGACAACAGACTTTCAGCACGCTTATAGGGAAGGACATTCAACAAGCACAGCACTTAAACAAATGACTGATAATTGGCTGAGAGAAATTTATGACAAAATTATTGTAGGGACTGTTTTGTTATACTTCAGTGAGGCTTTTGACATTATCGATCATAGTCTGCTGATGGAAAAACATATGTGTTATGGCTTTACACCCCCTGCTATATTGTGGATAAAGAGTTACCTGTCTAACAGAACACAGAGGGTGTTCTTTAATGGAAGCCTCTCCAATATTATTCCCCAGGGCAGCTGTCTAGACCACTTACTTTTTTCAATCTTTACTAACGACATGCCACTGGCTTTGAGTAAAGCCAGTGTGTCTATGTATGCGGATGACTCAACACTATACACGTCAGCTACTACAGTGACTGAAATGACTGCAACACTTAACAAAGAGCTGCAGTTAGTTTCAGAATGGGTGGCAAGGAATAAATTAGTCCTAAACATTTAAAAAACTAAAAGCATTGTATTTGGACAAATCATTCACTAAAACCTAAACCTCAACTAAATATTGTAATGAATAATGTGGAAATTAAGCAATTTGAGGTGACTAAACTGCTTGGAGTAATCCTGGATTGTAAACTGTCATGGTCATAACATATTGATACAACAGTAGCCAAGATGGGGAGAAGCCTGTCCATAATAAAGCGCTGCTCTGCCTTCTTAACAGCACTATCAACAAGGCAGGTCCTACAGGCCCTAGTTTTGTCACACCTGGACTACTGTTCTGTCGTGTGGTCAGGTGCCACAAAGAGGGACTTAGGAAAACTGCAATTGGCTCAGAACAGGGCAGCACGGCTGGCCCTTGGATGTACACAGAGAGCTAATATTAATAATATGCATGTCAATCTCTCCTGGCTCAAAGTGGAGGAGAGATTGACTTCATTACTGCTTGTTTTTGTGAGAGGTGTTGACGAGCTGAATGTACATTTACATTTTAGTCATTTAGCAGACGCTCTTATCCAGAGCGACTTACAGGAGCAATTAGGGTTAAGTGCCTTGCTCAAGGGCACCGACAGATTTTTCACCTAGTCGGTTCGGGGATTCGAACCAGCGACCTTTCGATTACTGGCCCAATGCTCTTAACCTGCATGTACCGAGCTGTCTATTTGGAATACTGGCACACAGCTCGGACACCCATGCATACCCCACAAGACATGCCACCAGAGGTATCTTCACAGTCCAGAAAATACTATGGGAGGCGCACAGTACTACATAGAACCCTGGCTACAGTGGAATCAGATTTAAAAACAGATAAAAATACACCTTATGGAACAGAGGGGACTGTGAAGAGATGTATACCCACACACGTACACATGGATTCTGTGTTGTAGATATGTGGTAGTGGAGTAGTAACTTGAGGGCACACAGTGTGTTGTGAAATCTGTTGTGAATGTATCGTAATGTTTTTAAAATTGTATAAACTGTCTTTATTTTGATGGACCCCAGGAATTGTAGCTGCTGCCTTGGCAACAGCTAATGGGGATCCATAATAAATACAATACAATACACTGTGTGCTGTGGACAATTAAAAGCCACTTTAAAATGTGCAGTTTTGTCACACAACACAATGCCACAGATATCTCAAGTTTTGAGGGAGTGTGCAATGGGCATGCTGACTACAGAAATGTCCACCAGAGCTTTTGCCAGAGAATTGAATGTTCATTTCTCTTACATAAGCTGCCTCCAACGTCGTTTTAGAGAATTTGGCAGTACGTCCAACCGGCCTCACAACCGCAGACCACATGTAACCACGCTAGCCCAGGACCTCCACATCCGGCTTCTTCACCTGTGGGATCATCTGAGGGGGGGTTACCCGGAAAGCTGATGAAACTGAGGAGTATTTCGGTCTGTAATAAAACCCTTTTGTGGGGAAAAACTCCCAGTTCTTCCCAGTGGCTGGCTTCCCAGCTGGCTTCCCAGTGGGTGGACCTGGCTGCCAAGTAGGTGGGCCTATGCCCTCCCAAGCCCACCCCTTCCCAGTCATGTGAAATCCATAGATTAGGGCCTAATTTATTTATTTCAATTGACTGATTTTTATATGAACTGTAACTCAGTAAAATCTTTGAAATTGTTGCGTATTGCGTTTATATTTTTGTTCAGTATAATACAACTGCCACAGGCTCGCTCCCTCTCGGTTTCCACTAGCATCCACAGCCACAAAGTCAGATTCCACAGCCACAAAGTCAAAATTGGCTACAAGAATGAGAATTTTTGGTCTACATTTAAAGTCTGGCATAGGTTAGCAGTGTGGTTAAGGTTAGGTTTAAAATCTGATTTTAAGACGATAAATTGTAGAAATAGGCGGGGTTTATGACTGCGATAATGATAAATTGCGATAAGTTATAATTTTGGGAGGTTACTCTCCATTAGCACCTTTTTTATACCATGTCAAAGAAAGTTATTTGGTTACCAGGTGATCCAGCAAAAGGCTGCAAAGGAAAATAAGGCATGATAAACATTTTCCCAACTCAACTTTATTCAGTAATTGTAACTCACATTAAACTGAGATATGGACAATTGACAAGGGCAAAGTACCCTGAAGGCTTATGTAAAAATCATGCAAAAACATTGTAATTTTTTATTTATTTAACCCAATTTACAATTCTCAACTCTTTTATTTAGTTTCAGTTATTTGACATGAGTAGCTACATAACAAAACGTATCTTGAATAAAAGGCTAACTATTCTCTTAAATTATAAATATTAGCACAAAAAGCTCTATTCAGTTTTTCTTTATCTGAGTGTCAGTACATTTGTAAACTGTACATTTGTAAACTGAAAAATTATCAAATTAGATTCAACCTGGCATTCAGGCTCATCCTACTCAAGGTTTTTTGCCA